TTTTTTTCCCCCAAAATTTCAGCTGTTTTGGGATGTTTCCCCCAAATTTCAGCTGTTTCGGGGTGATTTTACACAACTTTCAGCCACTTTTGGGATTATTTCCCAGTGTTTTCACCGTTTGAGGCAATTTTCCTCATCTAACAGCTGTTTTGGGGCTCTGGGAGTAGTTTTCCCTGCAGATTTTGGCTCCAGGGTCATTTTTCCCACAGTTTGTCTGCTCCAGGGTTGTTTTTCCCATAATTTGGCTGCTTCAGGGTCATTTTCCCCATGATCCAGTTGCTCCAGGGTAGTTTTCCCTGCAGATTGCCACCCTGGGGGTAATTTTTCCCTGCAGATTGGGGCTCAGGGGGTAATTTTCCCTGCAGATTGGGACCCTGGGGGTAATTTTCCCTGCAGATTTGGGCTTGGGGGGTAGTTTTCCCTGCATATTGGGACCCTGGGGGTAATTTCCCCTGCAGATTGGGACTCTGGGGGCAGTTTTCCCTGCAGATTTTGCCCCTGGGGGTAGTTTTCCCTGCAGATTTGGGCCCTGGGTGTAATTTTCCCTGCAGATTGGGACCCTGGGGGTAGTTTTCCCTGCAGATTTTGCCCCTGGGGGTACTTTTCCCTGCAGATTTGGGTCCTGGGGGTACTTTTCCCTGCAGATTCCCTGCTCCAGGGTCATTCCTCCCATAATTTGCCCGCTCCGGGCTCATTTTTTTCCCGTCATCTGCCAGGTCCCGTCTTCGTGGAGCTGCCCCTGGACGTGCTCTACCCCTTCCACGTGGTGCAGAAGGAGCTGGGCCAAGCCGGGGGCTCCGGGGGGCTGCGGCGGCGCCTGGTCGACTGGTGAGCGGCGCCACCGGCCGCGTCCCCGCGGTGCCACCGCGACGGTGCTGCCGCCGAGGACGCGGTGCCACCGGTGCCACCCCGCAGGTACCTCCGCAACTACCTGCACAACCTCTTCGCCGGCGCCTGGGAGCCCCGCGACATGACGCCCTTGCCCGTGCGGGTGCCCCTGGCCACCGCAGAGCAGGTGGGTGTCCCCCGCCGTCCCCAGGGTGTCCCCATGGCCGGCGCTGACGCCCCTTGGGGACGCTGCAGGTGCAGGAGGTGGCCGAGCTGGTGAGCAGGGCCGCGAAGCCGCTGGTGCTGCTGGGCAGCCAGGCCACGCTGCCCCCGACGCCCGTGGAGGAGCTCAGGTGGGTCTCAGGCCTCCTCTTCCTCGCCCTCGCGGTGTGGGGACGTGGGGGGGCCGCAGGGTGGCGAAAGGGTGGCAGAACTTGGCAAAAATTGGTGGTCGCCGGGTGCCAAGGTGGTGGCTGCAGCTTGCAAGAGGAGGGGACGTGTTTGCAAAGCTGGTGGCCGTGCATTGCAAAGCTGGTGGCCACAGGTTTGCAAAGCTGGTGGCTGTGCATTGCAAAGCTGGTGACAAAGGTTTGGAAAGCTGGTGACCAAAGGTTTGCAAAACTGATGGCCATGCGTTTGCAAAGCTGGTGGTCATACATTTGCAAAGCTGGTGGCCATGCATTGCGGAGCTGGTGGCCATGCATTTGCAAAGTTGGTGGTCATGCGTTTGCAAAGCTGGTGGCCACACGTTTGCAAAGCTGTGGCCACGTGTTTACAAAGCTGGTGGCCACGCATTGCAAAAGCAGCGTCAGCGCTTTGCAAATCTGGGCCTTGCACTTTGCAAAAGCGCTGGCTACAGTTCACAAAAGCGGCACACTTTGGCCCAATTTGTCGAGGCTGTTTGCAGAAAGAGCAGCTTCAGTTTGCAAAAGAGACTGAAGTTTGCAAAAGCGCCTCAGGTTTGCAAAGGCACCAGTTGCATTTGCAAAAACGACCAGTTGCATGCACTAAAACCCCTGCTTGCATTTGTGAAAGCAGGTCAAACTTGCAAAAAATCACCAGTTGCATTTGCAAAGAGGGCAGCCACAGTTTGCAAACACAGTTTGCATTTGCAAAAGCACCTCAAGTTTGCAAAACCACCAGTTGCATTTGCTAAAAARAAACACTGTTTGCATTGGCAAAAGCGCCTCCAGTTTGCAAAACAACCGGTTGCATTTGCTAAAAAAGCAGTTTGCAATTGCAAAAGCGCCTTGAGTTTGCAAAAGCACCAGTTGCGATCGCAAAGAAGGCGGCTGCAGTTTGCAAAAAGAGGCCGGTGGCAACGGTGCAAAGCGGGCGGCCGTGGCTTGCAAAAACGCTGACACCCTTGTGTGAGCTTCTGGTGCACCCAGTGGGATGCACGAGGTGCTGGTGCACCCAGTGGGTTGCATGAGGTGCTGGTGCACCCAGTGGGATGCACGAGCTGCCAATGCACTCGTGCAAGCTTGTGGTGCACCCAATGGGATGCACGAAGCGCTGGCACCCTTGTGTGAGCTTCTGGTGCACCCAGTAGGTTGCATGAGGTGCTGGTGCACCCAGTGGCATGCAGGAGCTTGTGGTGCACCCAGTGGGATGCAGGAGGTGCTGGTGCACCCAGTGGGATGCACAGACTGCTGGTGCACCCAGTGGGTTGCACGAGGTTCTGGTGCACCCAATGGGACGCATGAGCTGCTAGTGCACCCAGTGGGATGCATGAGACGCTGGCACCCTTCTGTGATCTTCTGGTGCACCCAATGGGATTCATGAGCTGCTGGTGCACCCAGTGGGTTGCACGAGGTGCTGGTGCATCCAATGGGATGCAGGAGGCACTGGTGCACCCAGTAGGTTGCACGAGCTGCTGGTGCACCCAGTGGGGTGCACGAGGTGCTGGTGCACCCAGTGGGACGCAGGAGGTGCTGGTGCACCTAGTGGGATGCAGGAGGCACTGGTGCACCCAGTGGGACGCAGGAGGCACTGGTGCACCCAGTAGGTTGCATGAGCTTCTGGTGCACCCAATGGGTTGCACGAGGTGCTGGTGCACCCAGTGGGACGTAGGAGGCACTGGTGCACCCAGTGGGATGCTGGTGCACCCAGTGGGACGCAGGAGGCACTGGTGCACCCAATGGGTTGCACGAGGTGCTGGTGCACCCAGTGGGATGCTGGTGCACCCAGTGGGACGCAGGAGGTGCTGGTGCACCCGGTGGGACGCAGGAGGCACTGGTGCACCCAATGGGTTGCACGAGGTGTTGGTGCACCCAGTGGGATGCTGGTGCACCCAGTGGGACGCAGGAGGCGCTGGCACCCCTGTGGCTGCCCCCGGCGCCCCCGCCGTCCCCGCGAGCCCCTGGGTGTCCCCGCAGGGCCGCGCTGGAGGCGCTGGGGCTGCCCTGCTTCCTGGGCGGCATGGCGCGCGGGCTGCTGGGCCCGGCGAGCGCCCTGCACGTGCGCCAGAACCGCCGCGACGCCCTGCGCGCCGCCGACCTCGTCATCCTCGCAGGTGGGTGCCGCGCGCCGCAGGGGGCGGGGGAGCACCCGAGGGTGCCGGGGAGCACCCATGGGCGCTCGCTGCGCGCCCGCAGGCGCCGTGTGCGACTTCCGCCTGGCCTACGGGCGCGCGCTGAGCCGCCGCAGCGCCGTGGTGGCCGTGAACCGGGAGCGGGCGCAGCTGCGGCGCAACGCCGACGTCTTCTGGACGCCRCGGCTCGCCATCCGAGGTGACAGCAACCCCCCGTTGTCCCCTGCCCACCCGCTCGGTGTCACCCGTGTGACGAGCTGCCCCGTGCGCAGGCGACGCTGCGTCCTTCCTGGTGCAGCTGGCGCGGAGCCTGCGCGGCTACTCGTGTCCCCGCGAGTGGCTCGCGGCGCTGCAGGAGGGCGACCGGCGCAAGGACGCGGCCAACAGGTGAGCGTGGCGCCGGTGGCACCGGTGGCACCGGTGATAGTGGTGACACTGGT